CTACTAACAACAATAATTAAGATAATTTAATATTTATTATTTCAATATTCACTTAATAAATTGAATTTTTTATTATATAAAATCTTAGTAAAACTAGCTAACTAACTATTCTATCAACAATCTACAAAGTTAGGACCTAAATTAGTTAACTTTGTATACAAAACAGTTGTTGACAAAATTATAAATCAGTTATGATGATCATTAAGAACCTTAATAATCTAAGTCAAATATTAAAATCTATTATATCTAAATTTAAATGGAAGAATTACTTTAATTTTCAAATAAAGTATTCAAATTACTAGTAAAGGCTCAAAACAAAGTTATACTTATCATAATCTCCAACATCGTTATAGCAAGATCCGGAAGATCTTGAAGCTTGGATCAAGTTTCTCTATACCTCCTTTTTACCTTCCACTTCAAGGTTTCAAAAGTCTTAAGAACAATTGTTGAGTTATTTTAATGTGTTAATTAGGTAGTTGGTTTTAGCTATAGGTTCATTAGTCCTGCCCCTCACAACATACTGTATATATAAAAAAATATATAACAATTGCTGAATTATTGTAATATGGCTATAATAAATATAATGTTCCCAATTTAATAACTTATTTTTGCTTTAATAATCTAAATATAAATAAGCAATAAATTTGGTAAATCAAATATTACTTACTATTGAGAACTTTAACATAAATGCGTTGGCTGGGTTAAATTACTTCAGTAGGATTATATTCACCAAGAATTTTATTAGTTTCCTTAACTTTCATGATTACAATAAGACAAGTTTGCTTATTGTATAAATTCCAAAATGAATTAGCAGTAAAACCATCTCTGCTTCCACAAAGCCAAAATATATACATATAAATATACTACTATTGGAAACTTCAATATAAATGCTTTTTTATTTTTTTTTTGGTGCAGTTTTTTATTTTCGTTATAGTATGCTATTATTTGGAGTCATTATATGAGTTGCTGTTGTTTAGAGTCTTATATCATATTAACTAAGTTAAATTACTCCAGTAGGATTATATCTACCAAGTATTTCATTAGTTCCCTTAACTTTTATAATTACAATAAGATGAGTTTGCTTATTGTATAAATTCCAAAATGAATTAGCAGTAAAACCATCTCTGCTTCTATATATATATAAATATACTACTATCGGAAACTTTAACATAAATACACTGACTGGGTTAAATTACTCTAGTAGGATTATATCCACCAAGTATTTCATTAGTTCTTTTAACTTTCATGATTACAATAAGACAAGTTTGCTTATCATATAAATTCCAAAATGAATTAGCAGTAAAACCATCTCTGCTTCCACAAAGCCAAAATATATATATATAAATATACTAAACTATAAACTAATTTGAGAAAATAAATATTATTACCTGCATTTACTATATGAGATCTTTGCTAGGAAAATCACTCTTTAAGATTTTCTAACTAGCAAATTTACCAGAATATCCTATCAGATATAAATAGCGCCTGCAAAGAAAAGAATGTTTATTGATAAATTGGAAAAGGCTTGGTTTTGTTAGATCTTTGTGAATATGAATGCGATTATTTTGATCAAAAATTTCAGATACTTTTTTATATTCTTCAAAATCAATTTTTGCTTCACTTGGTTTTTATTTAGATATAAATTAGCCTTTACTTTATTGATTCTATAGTTTATTTAATAAACTATAGAATTAATAAAGTAAAGGCTGATTTATATCTAAATAAGAACCAATATTCTGGTCTAAGTTTGTTCGAATTTACCTGGTCAGAAAATCTCGAAGAGTGACTTTCTTAGCAAAGGACCCATATTAGCAAATTTAGAAATTTTTACAATTAATAACATATTACTAACTTTTTGAAAAATATAAGTATTATTATCTAGTTTAGAGAGTTTTGAAGTATTCAAAAATTGACTTGTTAAATATCTTATGGATGTGTTTGATATTTGAATTGTGCCGATTTGACTTAATTATAAAGTAAGTCTTTAATACTTTTAATATACTTATATAATTCATCTTCCAAATTATAAAAAAATTAATACAATGTATTAACTAATTTTTTAGCAGTTGGTCTGTTTCGAGGTTTTGCATCTAAGCATTTATTCACCAGATCTAAAAGTAAGTGAAGAGCTTTGAATTTAATTTTGGGCCTATAGCCAAGACAAATACATGTTGCTAAATTTTCATTGTATAGAATATTACGAAATGAAGAATATCTAGTAAAACTTCTGACATAATTATTCTAAAAGAATTATTTGGTTTTTGAGTATATTCTTTTCCATTTGTATATAGTACTTCTGGAGCAATATATGAAAGTACATCAAGAATTTGAGTCTTGTGACACTGGTTTATATAAACCAAAATCAGTAATATAAGAATGGTTAACTATATTGCCAGAATAAAAATCTTTATATACTAAATCAGCTTTATGAATTGTATTAAGCTCTCTAGTATGTAATATAACTTAGCTATTTTAGAAGCCCAATTAATTCACAATATTTACTATCTAAAAATTTTCTAAGACTTCTCTGCTTTGCATACTCTGTAACTATTTTGTAGTTGGGTTCTTGGTTATTCCATAATGCTGAATCATCTCAGATTTTTAACCTAAAATATTAATTAGAATAAATAAGATTTTTATACTTTAATATATATATACAATATATAATAATAAATTATTTTAAACAAGCCTCTATTTGTATATTTATCTATATATTCTTTTAATAATCAAGCTCTATTATATTTGTCAATTCATACTGGCTTAAAAATGGTACCAAAGCCTCTTTAGCAAGATTAAAAATTTGAAGCAGCATGAAATAAAGGATGGGTGAGATGTTCTGGATATGAACTAGGTGAAGTTTACAACATTGTTAGTTGCTTGGGTTAATAGAAAAAGTGGAAGCAAAAAAAAAGCTTACAGTAATACCTAATTAACTTGCCATATTACTGTATTACTTGCCTGAATTTGCCTCTTAAATAAACTTTTTAGAAATACTGATTTATACTAATCTTTTTTCCAAAAGACATATGAAAAGTTAAAGAATATAATAATATGTTTTAAAAAAATTTTATTATATAAAACTATAAATTGCCAATTGATGATGTGGTTTTTCATAGTAAGAGTTACTTTAAAATTTTTTTTTATATTGAGTAATTTAGTAATCTTCAAGCCAATCAAATCGAATATCTACCATGCTAAGAAAATCTCATTTCTCTTAAATACTATTAATGATTACTAATTTCAAAAAAGAAAAAAGGTGTTATTTTTCAGATTATACAATATATTAGTTGATTTAAGTAATTAATACAATAAGCTCATAATGATAGATCAAACAATGCATTAATGATCAACCCATAACCGATTCAAGACAAAAGGCTGCTCTGATACTTTCATATCAGGCAGCTAATAATTCTAAAAAAATTTATCACATAATTCACAGAATTTGTGGTCTGTTGTATCAGAAAATAGTAAGCTTTAGTGATTAGTGGTCATGAGACCATGACATTTTTTTGCCATGACTAACCTACCTGTGAAAAAAAAATTTATAGACATACATTCTTATAGAGTCCATGAAAGTTATTTTTAATTCTTGTTTACTTAGTTTTTTAAAACAGTTTAAAGCCACTCGATATATAAGTATCGAGGCAGCTTTTGTCTCAAATCATCACAAGACCAAACATGTGAATGTTTAATCTAATGATCGATCAAGTAATGTTAAGTAAGTATGAGATAATTCTTGTAATATACATATGAAATGAGGTAATGGGAAAGTTAAGTAATTAGTTGAGTAAGTATGAGATAATTAATTAGTGCACAGATCATAGGCAGACATTTGTATGATTGGGATGTTTAAATCAATTTAATTTTACATTATTTATACAGTTTGAAGTACTTTTTAAAAAAAAGAAAACTACAAAGAATAAACAAAAAAGAAGTATATGAAAAGTTTTATTAAAGTTGTAGAACTCCACCAGTATATAAAATTTGAAACCAATTTTTAAAAATTTTTATATAAAATTGTGCACAACTTATATGTTAATTAGAAAAAATTATACACACTAAAATAAAATTGTGCACATGTGCACATGAATTTTATACACTGGACTCCATTAAAAATAATTTTTTGTTTTAGAGAAGTTAGCATAATAGCGACTTCTTAGGTTATCACCATGCTAACTTCTCTAAAACAAAAAAGAATTTTGATTATTTTTAATAGTGGAGTTCTACAACCCTAATAAAAATTTCCATATACTTCTTTTTTGTTTATTCTTCGTAGTTTTCTTTTTTTTAAAAAAAGTACTTTAAACTGTATAAATAATGTTAAATTGATTTAAACATCCAATCATACGAATGTCTGCCTATGAATATTAGTAATCGATGAGGTATGTAGAGGAAATAATCTTTTTTCTTCTGCGAACCCGACATTCGTTCTGGTTACATCGATCCTCCGATACGTGACTAATGTGTTTCGCTTAAGGACTTGGCCTGCAAATTTTATGGCCTGTCGGGACGACAGTCATTTGTACAAAATTCCAATACTTTTATGGCCTGTCGGGACGACAGTCATAAAAAGAAAAGGAAAAAAGAATGTTACACGATACTATAAAACTGCGTAGGTTGTTCGATTAGCAGGAGAAAACACCCAGATGTATTTCCATAGTAAGTCACCCGAAAATGAGAGACAAAACAAATGGTTGTACGTATGACAAAATTAATTTGATTGTATCGGTTTAAACAATCTGATCTGATGTTTTTTTTTGGTAATTTTAGCAGAATTACGAATTAAAAGATTGTCTAAAATTTACCGAACAATAATTACTGCACATAATATTAAACATGAAAAAGAACAATGCTCAAAGAAAAATAATTTATATAAAATGCGCTAATAATCACGAAACCCATTTGTCAAAAAGAAAAAAAAGCAACTTTATTTTATAAAATCACTATCTTTATTTTTTTCTAACTAAAAAAAAACGCTGACCAGACAACTGAGCCCTAACATGAATCCTAATCTTCATGGCTCAGCCTGGTCAGGTTTTTATAAAAAGACCTTAAAGGAACGTCAAAATCAACTAAAGATCGCTTTTCCAGATTTATTCAACCTGCCTTCGACTGCTACAAGAATTGTTCCCTCTGTTTCCCCTGTTCCCTCTGTTTATTCTACGCCTTTAACTTCTATTTGCAATTCTCCTATCTCTCGAGAATATTCCGAAGAAAATGATACACTCAATAGCATAAATAATGAGCAATTCAACTACCTAGTAAAAAAATTAAAATCATTAAATATTGATCAGGAACCATTTCCAATAAATGGCCTTGACGAACAAATTGCAGACAAAATGATTGAAAATTGCGTAGGGTAAATGTCTTGATTTTGCTATTATCTTGTTGGAACAAACTATGAACCTAAAATTTGATCCTGGTAAAAAATAGGACAATAGGTTTACCGATTGGATTGGCTCTTAACTTTATAATCAACGAAAAGCCAATAATTATCCCCATGGCGATCGAAGAACCTTCGGTTATTGCTGCTGTTTCAGGAGCGGCTAAGACAATTTCATCATTTAAGGGGTTCACTGCGGTGGCTCCTGAAAGAAATTCGATAATAGCCCAGGTTGTTCTTTTAGATATACCTCAAAATTCTATGAATCCTGCCATAAATAAGGTTTGAGGCTATCAATTTATTTATCACAAATATATTACCCTCCCGGGATTTTAATTTGACCTTTCTCAGAGCCATTGTATGTGACAAATCGAATTTATCACGCGCTAATCCCTAATCTCAGACCTCGGAGTGTAATTTCGAATTTTGGCCTAAATTAAGCCTAATTTGGGCCATTATTCAAAGCGCCCCTGCGCGTTGTTTCATACCTCTAAATGCACACTCAATTTCTGGTCCAATGCAAATTAGGTCTACACCTTATACACAATATAAGTGACAAGTTCAATTTTATCTTGTGTTAAAATCGAATTTATCACTTATAAATTTTTTAGTCAAAATAATTGAGTCTGGGTTAAGGCTAGAACGACCTATTGAAATAGTGGTCATTTCAAAGTATAGTTCTTGACACACATATTAAACTCTTAATTGTTAAATACTTTAAACAATGGGCAGTAACGCAGTAAATGGCCATTATTTACTATATGTCGTTTTAGATTGTTCTGGGGATGTCAAATTAAAATCCTGGGAGGGATACGACGAGCTAATTTTGTCAGCCCCTTATAATATTTTTTTTTTTTTACAAAAAATGTTCTTAGTTATTACATCAAAAGCCAAGCATCATTAAATTTGCCAACCAGTTTTGTGACAACATGGTCAAACGAGGGGGTGGCGTATTTGATATGTCAGTTAGAAGGATCTCACGTATAAATAATCGAAATAAAAAGCATCATCCAATTAGTTCTGAAAATTTCAAAGAGTTGCTTGTAGTGCATTTGCACATTGATGTGTGTGATGCTATGGGTGCTAATTGTGCAAGCGCGATCGCTGAAGGCGTGGCACCACGCCTTTCTGAATTGACTGGTGGTCGAATTGGCTTGAGAATTTTGAGTAATTTAAGTGTGGAAAGAATGGCCAAGGTAATTGATTAATAATTTTCGTAATTTTCGTAATTTATAATATTTCAGCTTAATAAATTAACCATGATTTATTAGGCGTCTTTCCGAATACCATTATCTCTGCTCCATTATAAATCATATACCGGTAAAGAAGTTGCTGCACGTATCATTGAAGCTTACGAATGGGCCGAGGTCGATTATTACAGAGCCATAACCCACAACAAGGGCATAATGAATGGAATTGATGCTGTTGCTTTGGCGACAGGTCAAGACTGGCGTGCTATTGAAGCATCATCCCATGCTTGGGCTTGTGATGGAGTAAGAGGTGACTATTCTCAATCCAATAATTATCGTCCTTTGACAACATATTGGATTGAAAAAGATGATCAGTTAGCAGCCTGTGGAAAAGAGGGTGATGACTGTTTAATGTTTTGCGGGGAATTGGAATTACCCATAACAGTTGGTACCGCTGGCGGTGTCATAAATACAAATCCTGTTTATTTACACAATATGGGAATTATGGGAAATCCTAACGCCAAAGAACTCTCCATGGTATATACGTGTATTATCTTTAATTTAATTGTTTTTTGATAAACATCTAAACTTCTAGTTCTTTCATCTCCTAGATTATGGTATGTATAGGCCTTGCACAAAATTTCGCTTCTCTCCGTGCACTGGCTACTGAAGGTATTCAGCACGGCCATATGAAATTACATGCCACCAACATAGCCTTTGCAGCATTACGTTGCTATGAGAATGAAACAAACAGTAGTTGTCCATCACACGATATCACGAGTATTGCACGAAGAATGATAGAGAAAGGTAGTATAACGTTAGCTACAGCTAAGGAACTCATAGAAGAATCTTTGCCTAAACCTCAAATTTCTCAGTGTACTTACATGTAATCCTTCTTACGCATGCATGTGTAACACTACGTGATATAAAACTATCGCCCATAACCCATGCATATTCTGATCTTACTGTCTCATATTGCTATCATCTGATTGGATAATAATAATCAAAAAAAATCAAAACTTTAAGCGAAAATACAAATATCACAATAACTACTTAACCAAATTCAGTAAAGATTTTTTTTATTTGATTCTACACAATAGTAGAATTGAAATAAATTTTTATTAAAATTAGTTATGTGGTTGTCAAGATATTTTTACTCAAAGCTTAAAAATTTTTATTATAATTTAAATATTTTGATAAATGATTAAATATTTTGATAAATAATTGAATATTTTGATAAATAATTGTCATGGCTAATGCTAAAATTCGAATTTATTTTTTAAAATTTTAAAATTTTTTTGAAATATGTTTTTTTTGCTTTTTTTTAAAGCTTAGAGTTAAATTTAATATTTAAAAAGTATAAATAAATTTTAACAAAGTTTATGTTTTTAAATTAAATCTAAATTTAATAACTATAATTGTCATAGCTAAATCTAGAAACGGCTGAAGCTAGATTTTAATTTAAAAATATAAACACAAAATTTATTTATACTTTTTTATTATTAAAACTACAAAACTTCTAAATTCTAATCTAATTTTAAAAAAAAATCTCTAATAAAAGATCTAAATTTTTTTGAAAATTTCATATCAAAATTTTTAGTTTCAGTTATTTTAGCTTTAGTTACAACAATAATTAAAGTTTTTTAAAAAATTTTCATTATAAAACACATTTATAATATTTTTTATACTCTAGTCACTATATCAAAATCACAGGATATAAATCAATTATACTCTGGGTATTATGTATATAAGCAGGGCTGAAAGTTCTACTTATACTCAACTGTCTAGGATATAACTATTAGGGAGCTGACATTTATCAGGTGATTTTCTAGGGGGAGGGGGGTAAAAAAAATTGAAATTTTATATATAAAACCTGATAATTTATATATTAAAAACTGGGGGTAAGCCTTTGATAAAAAACAATTAGGTGATAAATGACACTGCCTTTACATATCTATTATATATGTTTTTATATTTTTTTAAATTTTTATAAGTTTTATACAGTATATAAAACTTTTAATACAAATTTTTTTATATTAAAATTAGTATTAGAGTTGGTGTTAGTATTGTTACAAAGTAGATTTTAGGATAGTGTAGAAAGTAGTATAGTACAAATTCATCATTATATTTTATCGGTTTAGTTCTATTTACCGATGCTCCTTTTATAGACATGTTACTTCACCGAAATCACCTTACCAATATGTTTATTTTGTCAACACTAAATTCATTAACAATTATTTTGCTAAACAAATTTAATTTGCCAAAAAGTTTATTTCATCAACACTAAATTCACTGACAATTAATTCATTGACAAAATTAATTTGCTAAAAAGTTTATTTCATTGACAGTACAACTTACCAACAATTACTTTACTAAAAAGCTTAATTTACCAAAAAGTTTATTTTGTTGACAATATATTTCATTAACAATTAATTCACCAAAAGCTAATTTTGTAGACTGTACAATTTACCTACAATTACTTCACTAACAGCTTATTTTACTAACAAGTAAAAAGCAAATTATTTTATACAAGAAAAAAATCAAAATTAATAAGAGCTGAAGTGAACTATTTATGTGAAATAAGAAAAGTAAAATCTAATCTTTATGAGTCAATATCTTTGTTATATGCTTGTCTTGCATCACATTTTACATTTTTTATTTTCATATAAATAGTTCACTTTATTTTTTTTAATCCAAACTTTTTTTTTATAAAAAGTCTTCATAATGTACTTGCATAATTAAAGTCAGGCATTGCTTTTCTATTTTCATATAAATAGTTCGCTTTACTCTTACTAACCTTGATCTTTTTCTTGTATAAAATAATTTGCTTTTAATTTGTTAGTAAAATAAGCTATCATTGGTATAATTGTAGATAAATTGTACAGTCTACAAAATAAGCTTTCGGTGAATTAATTGTCAATGAAACATATTGTTAACAAAATAAACTTTTTAGTAAATTAAGCTTTTTAGTGAAGTAATTGTTAGTGAGTTGTACTATTGATGAAATAAACTTTTCAGTAAATTAATTTTGTCGATGAATTAATTGTTGGTAAATTTAGTGTCGATGAAATAAACTTTTCGACAAATTAGATTTGTCAGTAAATTTAGTATTGACAAAATAAACATGTCGGTAAAGTAATTTCAGTGAAGTGTTATTTTTACAAAAAGAGTATTAGTGAAGTGATATATTCTCTATTTTATTATTTTATTATATATATATATATATTAATTTGGCAATTCTGCTTTATTATATAAGGAATGTATAATCAAAATATATAAGTTTTAGCTAATGCTAACAATCTTTCTTCTTTTCAATAAAAGCTCACCTGGCTGCTTAAAGATGCCTAGATATGATCTGCTGCAGCAATAATTTACTTTTTTTTAGCATCTAACTCACTAGATGACTCCCCAAAAAAAATCACTGAAAGCTTATTACTAGCTTTGTTAAAATTGCCTTTTTCTTAACATTTTTCCTTTTTCAAAAGGGCATAAAAAATGAGAAAAATAAAAAAAAAAACAAAAAAGAAAAAATACAACAAAAAAAATAAAAAACAAAAAAAAATAAAAAAAAAAAAAAACAAGTATAAAAGAGAATATAAAAAAAAAAATAAAAAAAAATAAACAAAAAAAAACAACAAAAATTCTATCTTTTGGCACTATTCTAACCTGTGCCTAGTTAAAATAAAAATTATATAACAAATACAACAATTGTATATCTTATTGTAAAGCAAGCTTTAATATATACACTATTTAACTACCAACCAACTTCAGATATTTCTTTAACCAGAGACCCTGATTCAAGTTATGTAAAATAGCACTATATTCGCAAATAAACAAGACATGTGGTTGCATTTTACTGAGTTTGTTTGAAATTAAAATATAAACAATGTTGATCTTTTGGAGAGGGTAAGCCAAATCTCCACTTTTTATAAAAAATTTTGGAAGATCAACAGAAGAGTGAGTAAAAGTAAAAGAAAGACTACTTGGCCAAGTAAAAGAGTATAGTTTAAATAAAAACAACCTCTTGTTATTTTCTTTGTATTTTTTTTCTAGAAGTAACAGCCTAAGTAACTTCATTAATAGAAACGATTGTTGTCTTTTTACCAAAATTTTGTATTCAAGGATGCATACCTACTACCAATTATCTTGTATACTAACACTTTTGGCTTGTATACTGAATACACAACTTATAGAGAAGTTCCAAAAAAAAAAACTGTTGACTTCTAGACAAACTACTATATTAGGCTCCAACTCTCTAACAAAAGTTTTGTTTCTCTTCAGTGAGAATTTTTAGTTCAAATAATTGTTTAGAAAAGTTAGTATATCTTATTATATTAGTTTAATATTATTTTTTTTATTGTATTATTATATTTATTAGTTATTTATATTATTAGTTAGATTATTATAGTATATTGTACTAAAAGATAACCTTATTGGCTGATATTACTATGCTACATTATGTAATACAAAGTTACATCATTGCTTCTTTGCTTTTGCAATTGCTTTCTTGCTTCTACACTTGCTCCCTTACTCCTATGTTTGCTCTCTTGTTTTCAAATACAATTGCTTCTTTGCTCCAAGTATAAGAATGTCTAAATCTATATGGGAAAAAGATATGTAAAAGAATACTTTTTCTCTTTGCTCTGGAGTTAAGCAAATTAGATCAATCTAGTATAGTTCTTTAGTTCAATACTCTTTTGTACCTTTATACTTCCTCTAGAGTAATTCTAGTAGGTAAGGTTATTCTTCTTAATTTATAATAAATGAAGTATTCAATCATATACTAACTTTATACTAAACTGTTGCCTCCTGCTAGTGGAGTTTATAGAGCACTTCACTTTCATCTTGTATATACCTCCAATAGTAGAGTCCTTGTACCAAATACTATATTACTTTGTTATATTGGTAGAAGAAGACTATAGCATTGTAATAGTATTTAGAAAAGATAAGATATAATAACTTAGTATAGTAATTAGTTATTATTTTTTTCAAATAGTAGGTTTAAAGTTTGAATCTTACAAATAATAATTTTAAAAAATAGACCTGTAAAGGTGTGCTATTTATTATGTAATATAATTTTATTAATAGCTACTCTCTTTATCCCTTAAATTGTTT